CCAGAAGAACGTCTGGGTAAGGCGGTCCTTAGTTTTCTTGATACTGAGATGTCCGGCTAGCGGGATATCATGGCTGAGCTTTAGAAGCTCTGCTCTGTATTTGCAGGGTACGACTAGCTGCCTTTTTATATCTTGGGCCTCCCCACTTCCCACTCCCCCTGTGACCCTATATAGCAGTCCCTTGTCCCAGTGGAAGTTCTCTTGGGCATTACCTTCCTTAGGAGTACCTACTGCCTTCCTGTAACCTGCTAATGTGGGATCTGTCTGCGGGGCTTGGCCAAAGTCTTGGGGAGTGCCCCAGAAGGGGATAGGGTTAGGGCATACTACGAGGTTTTCGGTTCCTACCTGTGGTTCCTCGGAGTGTGTCTGTCCAGCTCGGCGGGCTTGCGCCCTGGTAGTCACGGGGCAGGTTCCAGCGTGATCTGGGGTAATCAGCTGTGAAGTTAGGCACCCCAAATCGTTCCCCAACAATACGTCCACAAGTAGGCCCCAATTTAACTGCACTCGAGCTGTGGGTAGCTTGTGGATGGCGCCTCCTGCCACTCTTACTGCAACAGTCCTGTTGGTGCGCGCCTTTGCAGATATGGTGTGAGGCTGCACCAGGGTAAGGGTGGCCCCAGAGTCTCGCAGTGCCTCAGCCTCCTTTCCATCTACCGTGACCCATTGTCTGTGGTGCACCCGGTTGTCCCCCTCAGCTTGGGCTAGGTTCACCTTATGTAGTACGGCCCATTGTTCAGAATCAGGGTTGTTGTCTTCAAGCGGCTCGTGTTGATAGTGATGAGCGGCTGCCCTCGGTGGGGGTGGTGATGGCCGATCCCAATTGCCTCTGTAGTGCCCTGGCTGATTGCACTGGTGACATACCAATGGTGGTCTCCGGTTAAAGTTAGGCTGTGTTGTGGGTGGTACCGCGTTCCATCTGGAGTTGGTCACAGGACCTGGTGTTGGAGCACTGGACCTTACCAGAGGACGGTTTCCACTAGCCTCTCCTTTTCTTCCCTCGTGATGCTCGTCTGCCAGCTTCCTCGACTGTGGCCGGCTTCCTATCTCTGACCCAGTCCCTGGTGTCTGCAGGTGTATGGTCAAAAAATTGTTCTAGCAAGAGGAGTTGCAGCACCTCCTTTAGCGTCGTGGCCTGGCAGCCTTGTATCCAGTTTTGGGCTGCCCGATACATCCTAAAGGCCCATTCCGTGTAGGAGTCTCGGCCCCCTTTCCGAAATGCCCGAAACTTTTTCCTGTAAGTCTCTGGGGTCACGGCATAACTGGCTAGCAGAATTTCCTTTACCCTGACGTAGTCATGTATGGCTGTATCAGGAACTGCTTGGTAAGCCTCTGCTGCTCGGCCGGTGAGTATGCTGCTTGAAATCGCGTCCCATTTCTCTGATTCCAGACCCTCCAAAGCGCACTGACACTCAAAATCCTGTAGGTATGCGTCAATTTCCATTTCTCCATTCGAAAAACTTTTAAAAGCAGCATAGTTAATCTTTCTCCGCTGCCCTCCATTTATA